TGGCACCAGCGAACCGCCCGTCCTCCTGGCAGCTCAACTGGGAACCCAGCTGAAGCATCCCGGCTGTTCAGATGGAAGTCATGAGTTCAAAAAGGCTCATTGGAAGCAGCTGAGTCAGTTGGAAATAATTGCTTCATTCGCACCTAATCTGCTTCATGTTGCCTAAAAAATCGGTCCTTCTTAGCCTCAGGAGCGCTCCAGGACCAAGACCCATCCGATGCATCTTCCAACCCGCGAAGCCGACATACATCCTCTCAGCCATCAGCCACATTGCGCCCAAGACGCCGACCAGGCCGAGGAGAAGGTGGCCGCCACGGTGACCCCGCCTTCGCTTTGCCATCAGGGCCCATCAACGAGGTGCTTCTCAACCGCCCCACAGGAGTTGTGAGAACTCCCGAAGGCTCGGCGGCAGCACTCTGCGCTCGGGCCGGTGGCTGCAAGCTTAGCACTGTCGATACAATGTTTTCTTGCCGACATGGACTGTAGAGAAAATGGAGGCCTTCCTGAAGAATCTGAACAATTTCCGGTCACACAAATCAACGATCGCAAAAGCTGCAACTGGTTGGAGCAAACTGAACCGAAAATGTTCTTGCCAAAAAATCTGCAGCAAACGTCCTGTCACACAAGTCAATGATCGCTCAAGTTGCAGAAAGCAGGCTTGAAAACTGCAACTCTCTGCGAGAAAATGGTTTCCTGTTTGCCCATCTCTTATCAGATCAGATCTCTCTCTCTCTCTCCCAAATGGCTCCCTCTGAGGCAGCAGCTGAGCCAGCTCAGTGGCTGGCCGCGGTCGAAGCAGTTCCGCCGTGGAGGATGGCCTGAGTCGAGCAGCGCCAGCTGGGCTTCCCGTGAAAGGAGCACCGATTCCACCACAGAAAAGTCGATTCAATGCATGTGTCCCACTTATTTTGATGGAGACTCTTGGAATTCCATGAGCAAAACAACCGCAACCCGTCGCGCCACAGTCGGGGAACATTTTGGTCCAGCAAGACGGTCCACCCTTCTCATTGCCAAGTGCCACCGTAAGCCCATACTAAACCAAGAACTATATTAACTATATAGTTTTACAATGTTTTACATTGTCTCGGGTGGCGGGGATTCAACACGAATTCCTTTTTGGATCCATTTCGATGGTCTTACGTCTGCGGGGAAGCCAATGGTGTCACACCTCTGCGGCCCCTGGCCTCATGGGTAGGAAAAAAGGAAAATACCACCTGCTAGCTAGGTTGTCACAACCTAAGCCCCCCGACAAAAAAGAAAGCCTTTCGCACGCTTTGGATACAGTATGACTCACAAACATCAACACCTTGCCTTGGCCTTCTTTGAGGTCTGCGAGCCCAAACCACTTCACACATTTCAAACAAGACAAACTTCACCGATATCCGGATATTCCTATCAATCCCCTGCACTGGCAGCCAGAACCCATCAGAATGGCAGCGGCCCTTTTTGTTCCGACCTCCTGAGGTCCTGGCAGCTTCTGCTGCGATGAGTGGATGAGACCCACGCAGTCGCTTTGCCAGCTCAGGCGGCAAAGCGTCGAGTCGTCGGAGTTGTACCCAGAGCCATTTGTACTCTGCGTTTTCCAACATTCGTTTTGGGAGCCGCCCATGCTTCACGATGTGGAGGACTTTCTCCAACTGCTTTTCCCATCGTGCCAGGTCAACCTGTACAGGACTGTCGTCCCATTCCTGCAAACGCTCTTTCACCAAAGGATGCACTTCCCCCAGCATCTTCCTCCTCTCCGGCATGTCATTATACGATCTCCTGTCTTGAACTCCCTTGAACCAGTTCGCCAGCCGGTTGCTGGAAGAGTTGCGCCAGTTGCGCTTGGTTCGCGTCCTGGTTGGAAGTTTGCCATTCGTCTCTATGTACTCCTTCAGCTCCCGGCAGTTCTGCTTGAAGCGGCCAACACGGCCACCGGCCATCCAGCCTTCAGCACGCCTGCGGATATGATCGGATCTTGCGTTCAGCAGTCTTTGAAGTTGGTGGGCTGGCATTTGCTGCAACCTGAGGCGCCTGGCTTGGGTAATCAACCAGTTGCCCAGCACTGTCTCAGCACGATCGCAACCAGCTGCCAAGCGTCGAGGAAGCTTCCCGTTCTTCTCGGCAAAGGCTTCCAATTCTCTGAAGCGAGTCTCCCACGAGTCTCTTTGAGATAAAACTGTATCAAGTCGGCCATACACCTCCTTCATGAATCCATCCACCCCAAGTTCTCCTTCCAGGCCCAAGCTGCAATCGACAATTTGGATTCTATGTCCGGCATGAGCCCCAATCAACCTGTGATCTGCTTGCACCAAGGCTCCCAAAAAGCGCTCCAGCTGATTCTCATACTTCTTGTCGAAAGCTGAAACCCCATCACTCATCAACCATGCGTGCTTCTTTCTTCTGAATGCTACTCGCGTCATCCGATGCGACTGTGCTTCAGTTGCCAGGCTAGGAGGAGTCTGCAAATCCTGTTTGGTGTTGCCTGTGGGTGAGGGGGACCGATTTGCAAAGGCATCACTGTGACGAGCTTCTTCATCTGGACTGCCCCTCTCTTTGCTAGCCAAGTTCGGCTTCTCCCTGACCTCTGGCCTAGTGGGTTTGGTACGACCGTTGCGCCGGATGCCGTCAAGAGGGTCTGCTTCAAGGTATCGGCTGCGGCGGCCTGCCGGCCGCGCAGCCTCAGTCTCAGGGCCCAATGGTGTGTCAGCATTCTGGCTAGTGCTAACACCTCTTCGGCTCATTATGTCGCTGCTGCCTGCTTGTGAGAAACTATCTGGAAGCTGAGCTTGACCTCTTGTAACACACCTCACTGTACCAGGTTTGCCCCTGCTATTCAGCTGCAGGCTGTCCGCAGAAGAGACCGAGTTCCAATTTCCAGGTAGTTCTCCTTGCTTCTCCTGATGCCTTGCCTTGCCCCCTCCCCTCCCCTCCCCTCCCCTCCCCTCTCCCCTCCCCTCCCCCCTCCCCCCCTCTCCTCCTCTCCTCCTCCTTGTCTTCCTCCCATCTTCCCTCCCTCCCTCCTCCCTCTTCGCAAGTTCGACTCCGTCCTGTCGTCGCTCTTTGGCATGCGGTTAGCGTTGCGTATCTTGCGGCCGCACTCACTCACTCTCGCTCACAAGAAAGCACACGTGGCCGGAGTGAGGGAACTGCTCCTTGCTGGGGGTCATAGACAAAGCCCCTCGAAAAAGACTTTTCCGGCACTTTGCGGTTGCCGTGCCGCGACTGAGATGGCCAAGGACCAGATGCTGCCTCTTGCTCCACCAATTGGAGACTCAAGCTGTCAAAAATATCAGCGGTGCTCTTGAACGTATTTGCCATCTGCGCTCCATTCTCATGGGTAGAGGAAAGTGAAGATGCATCGTCACCAAGGCTCTTGATACCGGAACGATGTGCAGGCACATTTGACAAAGACACATGATCCACGTCACTAGCAGCGTCATGTCCAGCTCTCCCCGGCTCTGATGAGCCTTCAGCTGACTTCACATTTGGTAGCACCACGGGAGGTAGAACGATATGTGCAAGAGCCTTGGTAGGACGCAACACCCGCCCAATGGCCTGCACAATGCTTGTGTAGCTCTGCCGTGGCTCAACAAACATGCAAGTGTCAGCAT